GAGAAACCACCCGCGGAGGATAAGAAGGGAATTTTTTTTAATATATTGTTGTGGATTTAAATACAAAACGGACCAGTTTAGGGAAGACAGCAAAGCATAAAGAGACATACATTCTTGATGCAATAAAAAGAGAAAATATTCTAAACACATTTCCAAGTTTTCAAAACATTTTAAAAGATACATTCCTTTTCTCAACAGGATTAGAAGCTTACAATTGGTCATTATAAAACGGAAAGAGTATAACATTGCAGTATAAACACTACAAAAAAGTACACAAAACAAAATTATTTATTAACAATTTTATAAAGCAACATAGAAATATAAAATTAAGTATCAGTAATGTGATTAACAAGTGCATTAAAGTGTCCTCCAAAAATTTTAATAAATCCCCAAGCATAACTTGTTATAACGTTTCTAAATATTTTTACATTAAAAGATGACAACTTGGCTTCATAGACTTAGTAAATTGTAATTAGGATTGTAATTATACAATCCCTGAGACTGGGATTCAGTGGATCCCAGTGGATTCAGTGGATCCCAGTGGATTCAGTGGATCCCAGTGGATTCAGTGGATCCCAGTCTCAGGTCTTTGCTCAGCACCATTTGCCTTTTCATGGTTTTGTTTGTTGCTACTGGTCTGGTCACCATCAGCAGTTCTGACTTCATCTTTAAAACTCTGAAGTTCAGCGTTCTCTTCTATTTGGTCAGATCCTGTGAAGACGGAGACAAAAAAAGTTAAAGGTTAACCAAATTATGTCTCTGAATTACACAGCTTTTATACTAGTAGTAAAAAAAATGGCCTAAATTTGAATTTTGCCCCCTTTATTTTGTAACTCTAGAAAAAAACATGAAATTTCTAGACCTTTTGGAAAAGTTGCAGGAAAAACATATGTTATTAAAAGAAAAATTAGAACAGATGTACTTACTGTTTGCAGGTTGAAATCCTGAAAAAATGAGAAGGCTTAAAAATAAATCATTGATATAAATGTAGACAAATTCACCATAAATAAGTGAGTAAAATACATGGACCTTAAATTTCAATCTAAAATTGCATATTACCAACATATTGTGCCCACCATTATTATTCTTTTTCCAGAAGATGAATCCAGATATGCAAAGTGCTACAAGCAGCACAAGTCCCACAACAACTCCACTGATAACATGAGAAGGAAAATCTGTTGGAGAAACTGGAAACAAAACAGGAATAAACTTTATTTCTACAGCAGCATCTTCTTCTTCTGCAGCTTTTCCCTTCAGGGGTTACCAATGTGAATCATCTGTCTCCATTTAGTCCCAGTCTGTATCCTCATACCAACTAATTTTCACCATATCCATAAATCTTCTTTGTATTTTTATCTATCTTTCCTCCAAATTAATTCCCATCTGAGAATAAACCTATCATGTGGCAGCTGAAGAGCATTTCTAAAACAGCGTGCAGAAAATTTATATTCTAATTTAAACTGATGATATATAACTTACCCCTGTTTGTCCTAATTACTGCTTTATCCAGTTTGGTTGTGATGTTTCCTAACCCAGGCTGCTGAAAGACACAGTCGTACTTCCCCCAGTCCTCAAGTGGGATTGAGGAAACATTGAAGTCAACACTCATCTGGAAGGTTCCATCAGGATTGGGAAGGATCTCACTATGCTCCACATATTCATGAATCTCCTCTCCATTTTCTCTCCAGTATAACTGCCCTCTGTTTGGGTAAAAACCTGTCACATGGCATCTGATTGGTGAGGATGGAGTCCTCTGGAGGAGAGACACTGATGGAAGACCTGCTGGAGAACAAGAAGGGGACAGTAAAAAGGAAAGAGACAGGGAGTAAAAGGGAATTAGAAAATGGGCAGAGGAAAGAGGAAGAGATACTGAAGTAAAATGAGGGAAAAGGAACCTGAAAGTTTAAACTCAAATAAAGCTCAGAATAATGTTGTCTTCCTTTTTTCTGGTCAAAGGGTTTATTACATTTCCCAATGCAATTATTATTTTTTAATAAGATTATCTGGACATTTTCATACTATACTTGCAGCAATAAAAATCTATGCACACGAAAGAAAGAAAAGAAACTGAGCAATATTGACATAATATGTTATTTGAATGTTTTTAACCTGACCTTTTTTCTGCTGAGAATGGTCACCATGTGACACATACTTCTTCAGATCTTCAGGGCAAACATTCTTCAGTAAAGGTACAGAGTTTTTTAAAGGAGTATCCTCGTCATTTTTCCATTTGTCCTTGACCATGACAGCCTGATGATTTTTAGCGATCCATGTCAAGTTCTTTACATCCAATTCAAGAAGATCTTCTCCATTATATGCAAATTTTAAAAAAATGCCAACATCTCCAGTCACGTCATCCCATTCACAGCCGGTTATCATCTGTAAAATGCCAACAGCTGAAACACACAAACATTTGTAAATGATGATGCTCACATTTAGACAAATGTCACATGTAAGCAAATGAAGCATTATAAAACCCTGCTACCTTCATATTGAAAATCCTTTAAATAATTAAGCTTGTGAGCGAAGTTATCTGGCAGATGGAAACAAAATCCACTGTACGAGGAGTTGAATGCTGAGTTAAGGGTTTTTCTGTTACTGTCACAGTAAGCCACTCGGATCGCATCAATTTCAATATTTGCCCAAAACGTCGGTAAGTTCGGAAGTCCAGAAGAACCCACACCCATCAACATGAGTGTGTGTTTCACTGAAGGAAAAATAGTTTCAAAATTCAGTCAGCAAAAACATTTGAGCCTGATAAGCTAAAAAAACAACAACAAGTAAAATCAATAACATATAACAATAACTGTAAATTACCTGATGACACGCAGTGAAGTAAAAGAAGGAGCAGGAACATTTCCATGTCCAACTTAACCTGTAACGATTTCGTTCCGCTGTGTGGTTAAGGCAGGAGTTTACAAATGATATGGAAAGCTATTTTAACATTTAATCAATACCCACTTCTCTTTAACCTTAATTCAGATTTTGAATCATAGATTTTAATTTTAAGATTGATTCTAGTTGAAAACGAAATCAAATCAATATTATTTATAATATTAGAAGCAGAAATAACTTAAAACTTCCTCAATATAGTTGTACCAGTAAGAAAGAGTTAACTCCGAACCATTCTTATCCTCAATTTCTTCAATTGAACACCAGAGGGCGGCATATATCCTATTGTACAAGAAGCGCAACACACACCGGTCAATAGAGGCACAGGTCAGGTGTGGTGCATTATTAGGGAGCTATAAATGCAATTTATTTTTAAAAAGTAGTTTAAAAAGTTGTCGAACAGATTTAAGTTTTCTAAACTGATATAGTAATGTCCCAGAGGAAATTGCACCTTAGCGTCAGGCAAGCAAAGAGAAAAAGCACAAAAGGAAACCTGTATGGACTGGTGTAACACAGACTGACACAAACAAGTTTGTGAAATTCTTAAAAATAATCAACTGTATTTATTAGTAGTAATAAAGTCATTAAACTGAACTAACATATTCTTTGGTCCTGCTGATACATCTTGAATGCCAGTCAAGGAAACCATGGCACCGCTATTTAAAATATTACAACAAAACCAAAAAATTAGTTCAGGATGAACAACCGTTCCTCTTATTCAGATTAAACACAGCTGTCTAAAACCATGAGGACCGTACTGCTGATGATGTTTACACTTGAAAGATTTGTTTTTATGTACTTCTTAAGACTTTAATAATTCTACATAAAATATTTCTTTGACTTTTAGTTCTGTTGTTTTTATTAACAATCGATAAGAAAAGTTATATCTTCAAAACATTTACATTTTAAGGTAATGTGACATGCACAAATATGTCAAATATGAAATGAACATGAATATATACAGGTGATGTTCATGTACATTCATTTGTCTTTTTAAAACCATCTGAGCTAGATTATTTTGTTAATAAAAGAAACAAAGACAACATAAGACTGCTGTGTCTTGTATAAAACATAGTGCAGTTAAACCAGTTTTTCATACTTCTGATCAGTGCTTTCATTTTGATAATTGAAGCCAGCAGCATTTCACAAGTTTCCTTCACATCTGGTTTATTCCAATTTCTGTATATAGATCTGTCTGACCCGCCGTCTGTCCAATGGTGAATTAAAGATTAGCAACAAACTTATAGCTTATGATTTCTAATCAAATGACTGATACTACATAATCTGAACCAGAAGTATTTTAGCCAAAAGGGAGTTTCTTTGTCAAAACAAGAATAACATCAAGCCAAGAAGAAAAGCAGGAAATAAAAACAACTCAGATAATGAATGTTTGGCAACAAATTATCTTTAACAAGATGTAATACAGCATGTTTTAATAAAGATGTAATACAGCATGTCAGCATGTTTTAATGTTTTAATGTCGCAAAAAAATAATACCCACAGAAAAATTTATTCACTTACCCCAATATCATTGCTCATCACTTCAAAGGTGGATAAACCCTGCAGGGGAAGTTCATTCCAACTGCTTGATGTTTTTAGTCATCAACCAGAACTTCTTGGAATGGCGGATGTAGTTAGGAATGAAGATATACCGGCAAACTAAAAACTTTGTCTCGTTTCAGTTTTTCCTTCAGCATAAAATATACATAGAGCACTTGCATGCCTAAAAACAGAGAGACATGTTTTTTGCTAGTGTAAAGAAATGGTCTAATGATTGCAAGTGTGGGAATAAAACAAAGGTTTTTAACTAAATGCTCAGATATTTAGAGGAGAGTTTCACCTCTGCCCAGCTGACCGCCGTTAGGTCTGCTTTCAATTGGAGATCACACGGCCCCTCCGCCTCACCTGGCAACTTTTTGCTCAGTCTGAGGCCTCCACTTCTAGGTGTGGAGACCGATTGAGCCAGCTTCTGTAGTAGGTTTGTAAAACAGCTGATGGGCTAAACCCAGCCACATGGAGAGAAAATAGTCTCAAAATACCTGTGCTTGTGTAATGCTGACAACTTTTGAACTTACAACATTTTTTCTACTTTGTTCAATGAAAATCTTGCATGCTTAATTCATTGCTACAGGGACAAAGAAAAAAACAGTAAAATTGTTTTGTATATTTAATGGGAAAAAACACTTCCTGCAACTACAAAATACAATGTCATTACAATACAAAATAAATGGTATTTCTTAAATTAGGCTGAGCTTAGTGCATCTTTACAGACTTGCAATGAAGGACTCAAAATGTGTTGAATGCAAACTTGGTTCATGCAATCAAATTTACTGAACAGAATAGTTTTCTCTGCTTTAAACTTGTTTTAACTGTTAGAGTCCAGATTTGACTTCAGTCTGGTTTCTTGATTGAGTCTCTCAGACAATTCAATGCTGTTGATGGGAGCTGTAAGGTAAAAAAAAAAGTTATCATTAGAAGAATCTAAAATTTAAACTGTTATGTCAATAAGCGATAAACAATAAGGGACAGCGAGTTTGTCAATAAATCAAACTGCGGCAAGATTCATCACACGTTTAAGAAGTGTTAAAATGAATATCAATAAAAGTATCTGGGGAAAAGAAAGAGTTACACTTCATCTGACCCTTACTCATTATTTGTACTGAAAATGGGGAGTCCTGAAATTATTTTTGTGTTCGTATATGTCATAATTTGAATAAAACAAGTTTAGTTTTTAGTTCAGATTATGAGTCTTGTTCAGCTCATCATTGGAGGTTTCCTTACCTTTCCTGTTTTTGATGACTGCAAATCCAACAGCAGCAACAATGATGACAAGAAAAACCACTGCAGCAGTGATCCCAACTATCAATCCGATGGGCTTTTCTGGACAGATTAAAGACAACAGATGCAGATAAACATGTTAACTAAGAGATGCATAAACTGTAGATTATGATCTACTGAAAACTGTTAAGAAATCAGTATATAATAATTGCAGGGAATAATATCTTGAAAGTCTGATACTGGATTTATAAAGTAATAGTAACTTCTTTTGAAGAGGTTCAATAATGCAGGAGAATAAGGTCGAGGTCGCATCTGAATTCCAGATAAACCTTTCTTTCAGTGCAAGAGTTAAATCAGTTTTAAAAAGACTCAAAACAGCAACCTTTAAAAAACAGATGTGTTGTTTAAAAGTTTGTGTTGATTGAACTTATTTTTTTTTTCTTACCCTCATCATTATGTCTCTGTCTCTTTCCCCAGTTGGTTTGGATCTTTTCTTTCTCCAGTCTGCTGACAACATCATCTCTGACATCCACCAGATGAAACACACACTCATATCTTTCCCAGTCTTCAGGGTTAACAGATGAAACATTAATGTCTGCTCTCATCTGGAAGGTGTTATCCTGGTTACAGAGGATCTCTGTTTTGTCCACACTGTCCTGAATCTCCTCTCCATCCTTTCTCCAGAACATCGCAGCTTTGTTGGGATAGAAACCAGTAGCAAAGCAGCTGACTGGAGAGTCAGGAGACGTCTGGAGGAGAAACACCGAGGGAAGAACTGAGGAGACAGATGGCAGCTTAAGATCTACAATTAAATACTTTTCTATTATGTAAAACAGAATTTAAAAAAAATGTAACGATCATGAAAAACTCTAAAAGCAGAGACACAAAAACAGCATCACTTTTTTCATAAAATATTTAGCTCTGACATAGAGGCACAAAAATTCACAAACAGTAAAATCATCAACAAAAAAACATGCCAAAGGGAACAAATGACACAAAAAAAATCATGAATGCAACAATAAAAATAAATAAATCTTGTGGGGAATGAAGTTTAAGTTATATGTATTTTTCAACACACTGAATCTGTAAATGACACTAGAGATGTGATCACTTTTCTCCAGGTCTTAAGGTTTTCCTGTTCATGCTGCTCTTTGATCACACCATGCTGCTCTGTCTCACCTGTGCTCTGCAGAGGGACTTGGTTATTGGCCATATATTTCTTCAGCCAATCAGGACATATATGATTTAAGAAGTCCTTGTGCTTCAAATGATATGCAGATTCATCAGCTTCCCACTTTGGTTTGATGCTGACAGCCTGTGGAGTTTGAGGAATCCATGTCAACTTCTTTGGGTCAAATTTCATAAAGTCTGCTCCATTATATCCAAACTGTAAAAACGAGGTCGTTTCTTTTGTCTTTTCCTCCCATTCACAGCCAATAATAACCTGCAAAATGTGAACAGCTGATGGGAAAACAGAAACTGAGATTAAGAAATCAAATTTAATATTGCTAAGCAGCTTAATTATGAATGTGAGTCTCTTTACTGTACCTTCACTTTGGTTCAGGTCCTTTAAAATTCCCATCTTAACCTTGAGATAATCAGACATTATTTCAAAACACTGTTCAATATACCAATCAGCAATCTGTGACTCAATGTTCATTAATTTTTGTCCGTATTTTGGGTTTGCTCTAATATTTTTGTTGCTGTCGCAGTAACTCGTTGGCAGCTTGTCCACCTGGGTGGTGATTATAAAGTCTGGAAAATGTGGAAGTCCAGAGGAGGCAGTGACCAAAACCGTCAGCGAGTGTTTTTCTAGGAGAAAAGGTGAAATGTTCAGCAGGATGCAGACATGTTTGACTTCAGCAGGTTTTTGAATGGAGCAAATTATGAAAGTAAAAATAAACATCAAGGAATAAAAAGACAACACTTTCAAAAAGGGAAAAGCAAAAGCTTACCTGGTGATGAAGCAGCACATAAAAGCAGTAAAAATAACATCATGTTGTTAAAAGATGTGATGTCAGGAGAGAAATCCTTTACTTTTCCTCAGAAACTGTTGATTTAAAAAGAAAAAGAATGTTCTTTTGAGAATCCTTTGTAAAATAGAAAATATTTAACAACCAGTAAGAAAAGGGATGAAACCTGGTTATATAAATTGCCAAGCTGATGAGCATCAGCGCCACATCTGGAGCGTCATTTCAGATGAGTCAGTCCTCTGTCTTTATGGTTTCCTCACAACAAAGAACAGCTGCTTTCTTGAAAGACGGCCTCTCACCACCAGGCACCGACAGAGAACCCGCTTTACTGGAAAACATTTGAAGGTGGTTTAATTTGCAGATGAAAGTCCATCTGCTGCCTTGAAAATGCAATTTAAGTCAACAAGAAAATGGTTTTGGTTTTAACTCAGAAATTAAAGTTCATGAAGTTGATTTAATAACAAGAAACAAGTTGTCTAAACACTGGTTTTTAAGTTCTTTAATGGTGAATTGTGAGTTTTAACTTAATTAATTTAAACTAAGTAATGATTTCACAATATGCAAGAAAAAAAACTGCCCTCACCTAGTTAAAGAGAATACATTTCTCTATTATTTTTACTCACAATATTAAGTTAAAATAACTTGTTTTACTTAATTTAAATTCTTGTTCTGATCATATGAATTTCATTAAACATCTTGTTGCTAACCTAACTCCAGTTTAGTCAGCTCTTGGGATTTTGACAAAATTAATACAAAAGGTAACACTAAGTTTATCCTTTCACAAACTCACTCATTTAAATTCAAAATCTAAAACTCAGATCTGATTAATTTATTTTACTTAAAGAGTAGAAGACAGTAGATGCAACTAAAAGTGACTAAAATCTTTTGCAGTGTTCTGGCTCATCAGCCTCATTTTTAGGACTTCGTTCTGTCATTCACAAAACAATTGTTGTGAAGCATGTTTGTCACCATAGCAACCATTCTTATCCTGCCCTGATGTAATGAGGAAGTTAAGGTTAAATACTATCTGTTACGACCCGGCTCGGCTAGGGGAAAGGGAAGTAACATTAAAAGAAACCTTGATGGTAAGGTTTTGACAATTTAGAGATTTATTGTTTGGATTTTACAAAAATAAAATGGTGAAAATTAACAATAATCAAAATGGAGGGACTTTCAAACAACAAAGTACTAAATAAAACAAAATCCATAAAACAGAGGTGTAAATCAAAGAACTTAACCAAACAAAAATGGTATCTCAAACCAAGTTAAACAAAACAAAATACAAATCTCAGCCAGAGATCCAGAGTTCCCTCACAGGGACAAAGCAAATTACACCAGTTATCAAAAACCAGTCAAAGCTAAAGCTATCCAAGTAAGTTTACAGCAATAGAAAACAAAACACCCAACAAGTGGCAAGCTGTTTGAACAAAGAATCAGCCATGCCTTCTCCCAGGAAGTCCATTTTAAATGGGAGGCTTTGACAGCGATTGGTGCAGCTGGCAATTGGTGATCCAATCCCGGTAGGCCTCAGGGTGAGGGAGAGGAGAACACCTGCTTCCAGGTGCAGTCAATTTGATCAGCCACTGCAAAATTAAAGCAAACAAACACAGAAAAAGGCCACTGGCCGTAACACTAACCTTGAGCGAACCCCTGCTGGCATACATTTATGCAAGCAGTTCCCTACGTCAACATTTCATATTTGGAGAATAATCTGCATATTTTACCTGTACCAGATGTAACTAATGTAAAATGACTGAATTGTTTGTGTCATGATTTGCAGCATTTTTGACATTTTCATAGTTTCTGTTAGTTGAAGGTGGAGTTGGTAGATTTGTCCATATTCATGTAATGAGATTTAAGCCATGTCACTTGCAGCTATCACGTAAAAAGTTTGTATTTAGAAATAAATCTTTTGATCTACAGTATCTGCTCATATCACCTTACCTATTGTTGGCTGGGTGAGCTCTCTGTGGTGGTTTTGTTTTGTTTGGGATATAAAGGATTTTAATGAGAGCTGAGGAGACAGGAACCAACTGGTGACAGAGAAAAACAGAGGAACTGATAAAGAAACAGACGAACAAAGGAGTTTTTTGTGAAGTGCATCAATCCTTGCACTGATATAACGATATTGCTTAAAAAAAACAAGTTTTTTTAAGCCTGTTCCCATGTTACAGTAGAGGTGAGAGGATCAGTTTCAGCTTCTTCAATCCAGTTGGAATTTTGTTTTTACATTTCTATCTGGCTGTGAGTCAGATAGAAATGAGAGGCTGGTAATGTGACCAGTCTCTGGTCACATTACAACCTGACCAGAGGCTGGTCAGGTTGTAATGTGCATATTTTTGGTCTTCAAACAAAGAACAGCAGCACTTAGTCTGGCTTTGAAAAAAGTTTAGATTAAGTAGATCTGATGGTTTTGTGTACCACAAGTTTTTTCTCTTGTTTTTATAAACAATACTGTCATTTGTGGAGTCAATGCTCGACAAATGTGTTTAAAAATATTTTAAACACATTTCCAAATTTTCAGAACATTTTTAAATATACATTAATTTTCTCAACAGGATTAGAAGCTTACAATTGGTCATTATAAAACGGAAAGAGTATAACGTTGCAATATAAGCACTACAAAAAAAGTATACAAAACAATTATTAACAATTTTATAAAGCAACATAGAAATATAAGATTAAGTACCAGTAATATGATTAACAAGTGCATTAAAGTGTCCTCCAATAATTGTAATAAATCCCCGAGCATAACTTCTTATCATCTTTTACATTAAAAGATGACAATTTTGCTTCATAGACTTAGCAAATTATAGGATTGTAAAATTCAGTGGATCCCAGTCTCAGGTATTTGCTCAGCACCATTTGCCTTTTCATGGTTTTGTTCGTTGCTACTGGTCTGGTCACCGTCAACGGTTCTGGTTTCATCTTTAAAACTCTGAAGTTCAGAGTTATCTTCTATTTGGTCAGACCCTGTGAAGACAGAGATGAAAAAAATAAAGGTTAACCAAATGATTGGTGTTTCTGAATTAACAGCTTCTATACAAGCAGTAAAACAAATGGCCTGAATTTGAATTTTGTCCCCATTATTTTGTAACTGTAAACAAAACCGTGAAATATCTACGACTCTAGTCCTTTTGGAAGAGTGGCAGGAAAAACATCTGATATTAAAAGAAAAATTAGAACAGATGTACTTACTGTTTGCAGGTTGAAATCCTGAAAAAATGAGAAGGCTTAAAAATAAATCATTGTTTATAAATGTAGACAAATTCATAATAAATAAGAGTCAAATACATGGATTTAAATTTTAGATTGTAAACATATTGGGCCCACCATTATTTTTCTTTTTCCAGAAGATGAATCCAGATATGCAAAGTGCTAAAAGCAGCACAAGTCCCACAACAACTCCAGTGATAACATAAGAAGGAAAATCTGTGGGAGAAACTGGAAAGAAAACAGGTATAAACTTTATTTCTACAGCAGCATCTTCTTCTCCAGCTATTCCCTTCAGGGGTTACCAATGTGAATCATCTGTCTTCATTTAGTCCAATTTTTTTCATCCTGTACCCTCACACCAACTAACTTTCAGCATATCAATACATCTTCTTTTTGTATTTTTATCCATCTTTCCTCCAAACTAATTCCTCTCTGAGAATAAACCAATCAGCTGAAGAGCATTTCTTCAACAGCGTGCAGAAAATTAACATTTTAATTAAAACTGATGATATATAACTTACCTCTGTTTGTCCTAATTACTGCTTTATCCAGTTTGGTTGTGATGTTTCCTAACCCAGGCTGCTGAAAGACACAGTCGTACTTCCCCCAGTCCTCAAGTGGGATTGAGGAAACATTGAAGTCAACACTCATCTGGAAGGTTCCATCAGGATTGGGAAGGATCTCACCATGCTCCACATATTCATGAATCTCCTCTCCATTCTTCCTCCAGTATAACTGCCCTCTGTTTGGGTGAAAACCTGTCACATGGCATCTGATTGGTGAGGATGGAGTCCTCTGGAGGAGAGACACTGATGGAAGACCTGCTGGAGAACAAGAAGGGGACAGTAAAAAGGAAAGAGACAGGGAGTAAAAGGGAATTAGAAAATGGGCAGAGGAAAGAGGAAGAGATACTGAAGTAAAATGAGGGAAAAGGAACCTGAAAGTTTAAACTCAAATAAAGCTCAGAATAATGTTGTCTTCCTTTTTTCTGGTCAAAGGGTTTATTACATTTCCCAATGCAATTATTATTTTTTAATAAGATTATCTGGACATTTTCATACTATACTTGCAGCAATAAAAATCTATGCACACGAAAGAAAGAAAAGAAACTGAGCAATATTGACATAATATGTTATTTGAATGTTTTTAACCTGACCTTTTTTCTGCTGAGAATGGTCACCATGTGACACATACTTCTTCAGATCTTCAGGGCAAACATTCTTCAGTAAAGGTACAGAGTTTTTTAAAGGAGTATCCTCGTCATTTGTCCATTTGTCCTTGACCATGACAGCCTGATGATTTTTAGCGATCCATGTCAAGTTCTTTACATCCAATTCAAGAAGATCTTCTCCATTATATGCAAATTTTAAAAAAATGCCAACATCTCCAGTCACGTCATCCCATTCACAGCCGGTTATCATCTGTAAAATGCCAACAGCTGAAACACACAAACATTTGTAAATGATGATGCTCACATTTAGACAAATGTCACATGTAAGCAAATGAAGCATTATAAAACCCTGCTACCTTCATATTGAAAATCCTTTAAATAATTAAGCTTGTGAGCGAAGTTATCTGGCAGATGGAAACAAAATCCACTGTACGAGGAGTCGAATGCTGAGTTAAGGGTCTTTCTGTTACTGTCACAGTAAGCCACTCGGATCGCATCAATTTCAATATTTGCCCAAAACGTCGGTAAGTTCGGAAGTCCAGAAGAACCCACACCCATCAACATGAGTGTGTGTTTCACTGAAGGAAAAATAGTTTCAAAATTCAGTCAGCAAAAACATTTGAGCCTGATAAGCTGAAAATCACAAGTATAATCAATAACATATAACAATAACTGTAAATTACCTGATGACACGCAGTGAAGTAAAAGAAGGAGGAGGAACATTTCCATGTCCAACTTAACCTGTAACGTTTTCGTCAGCGCTGTGTGGTTAAGGCAGGAGTTTACAAATCAATATGGCAAGCTATTTTAACATTTAATCAATACCCACTTCTCTTTAACCTTAATTTTGAATCATAAAATATAATTTTAAGATTTATGCTAGTCAAAAACTAAATCAGATATATAATCATGATGACTAATATTGTTAGACATAGAAATAACAATTTAAAACTTCCTCAATATAGTTGCACCAATAAGAAAGAGTTAACTCCAAACCATTTATTCTTGACCTCAATTTCTTCAATTGAACACCAGAGGGAGGCATATATCCTGTTACGGCCCTGGGCCTTGTATGCTGGGTTGCAGGTGTCTTGTTGTCTGTCTTTGTGCTCCTCCCCTTTACAGGTGCTGCTGATCGGGTTGAGTGGAGCGCAGAGTATTTGAACCTGGCTGTCTCCGCCTTCTGGGTCGCCTTCGGCGTCCACTCTGCCACTTGACGCAGTGGTGTTTTATTGCCAGGCCTCAGCTCCCCTCCTTGTTGAACATTTGCGTTTGTCTTTGTTTTTGCACTTCAACACTTCCATATGCGCTCATACAACACATCCAAGCATTTGCATTACACCACTGATACTGATATCCACAACCCATTGTTGTTTTTGTTAATAAATCTTCATTTTCCTACACTTTAACCCCTGCATGGTCTCCCGTTTTGTTATGACCTTCAGCCAGTCGTAACAATTGGGGGCTCGTCCGGGATTGTACAATAAGCGCAACATGCACCGGTCAATAGAGGCAGAGGCCAGGTATGGTGCATTATCAGGGAACTATAAATGCAATTTATTTTTAAAAAGTAGTTTTAAAAGTTGTCGAACAGACTTTAGTTTTCTAAATTGATATTTTAATGTCCCAGAGGACATTGCACCTCAGCATCAGGCAAGCAAAGAGAAAAAGCACAAAAGAAAACCTGTATGGATTGGTGTTACACAGAATGACACAAACAAGTTTGTGAAATTCTTAAAAATAATAAACTGAGTAGTAATAAAGTCATTAAACTGAACTAACATATTATTTAGTCCTGCTGATACATCTTGGATGGTAGTCAAGGAAAACATGGCACAGCTATTTAAAATATTACAACAAAACCAAAAAATTACTTCAGACTGAACACATCTGTCTGAAACCATGAGAACTGTAGTGCTGATAATGTTGAGACTTGAAAGATTATGTACTTCTTAAGACTTTAATAATGCTACATAAGATGTATCTTTGACTTTTAGTTCTGTTGTTTTTCTGTATTAACAATTGATAAGAACAGTTATATCTTCAGAACATTTACATTTTAAGGTAATGTTTCTCATTAAAGAGAACAAATTTCTCTATTATTTTTACTCACAATATCAAGTTAGAATAACTTATTTTACATAATTTAAATTCTTGTTCTGATCATATAATGAATTTCATTAAACATCACGTTGCTAACCTAAAAACTCCGGTTTAGTCAGCTCTTGGGGTTTTGACAAATTTAATAAAAAAGTTAACATAACTTACTACTGTAAGTTTATCTTTGCACAAACTCAGACATTTAGGTTCAAAATCTAAAACTTGGATCTGATAAATTTATTTTAATAAAAGAGTAGAAGATAGTAGACACAACCAAATGTTACTGAAATGTTTTGCAGTGTTCTGACTCATCAGCCTCACCTTTCATTTTTAGGACTTCGTTCTGTCATCCACAAAACATTTGTTGTGAAGCCTGTTTGTCACCATAGACAGCTTTCTTATCCTGCCCTGATGTAATGAGGAAGTTAAGGTTAAATACTAACCTTGAGTGAACCCCTGGCCTGCATTTATGCAAGCAGTGCCCTACGTCAACATTTCATGTTTGTAACTAATGTAAAATCACTGAATTGTTTGTGTCATGATTTGCAGCATTTTTGTCATTTTCATCATTTCTGTCACTTGAAGGTGGAGTTGATAGACAAATCCATATAAATCTAAAGAGATTTCTGCCATGTCACTTGCAGTCATCACATAAAAAGTTTGTATTTAGAAAGTAATCTTTTGATCTACAGTATCTGCTCATATCACCTTACCTACTATTGGCTGAGTCAGCTGTCTGTGGTGTTTTTGTTTCGTTAGGGATGTAAAGGATTTTAATGAGAGCTGAGGAGACGGGAACCAACTGGTGACAGAGAACAACAGAGAACAACAGAGGATCTGATAAAGAAACAGACGAACAAAGGAGTTTTTTTTGTGTGAAATGCATAAATTCTTGCACTAATTTACCGATGCTGCTGCTGTTACTATTTATCTTCTTTATCTCCTGTGTGCTCATAAGAAGCTGAATCCAGACACCTGATTCATCATTTTGTTATGTGAGATACTATATGTCATTACATCAGGTATGTAGGGATTAACACAGAACACTTTTGAAGTGAAACTAGATTTTTTTTTTTTATTAAAATCTGTTTATCAAACCGCAGATCAGAAAAAGTTTAGACTTGTTATAACAGATTTGATCCAATGACGGTTTTGTTTCTGAGTGGTTGAAACTATTTATATGGAGGTGAATTTACAGATTAAAATAACTTTGTTTAGAAAAAAAACTAGAAAAAAAAGTTTTTTTTTCTAGTTTTTGGGGAAGTTTATTAAGCCAGTTAACACATTACAGACGAAGTGTGAGGAGTAAAACATTTTCAAAAGTACTATCAGCTTCTTGAATACAGTTGGAATTTTGTTTTTACCTTTGTAGATAATAAATGACAATAATAATAAATGACAGATAATAAACAAAAATGACTCTCTGCTGCTAAAAGACTGACTGGACAGGTTGTCATGTCCCTATTTTTGGTCTTCAAAAAACTCCAGAAGCATTAACTTTGTCTGGCCTTGAAGATAACTTAGTTTAAATACACATTATGTTTTAGTATATTATAAGTTTTTGCTCTTATTTTAATTAACAATACCATCTTTTATGGAACTATTTTTGAATCTCTGTTGAAGAACTGCTCCCTCTTTTCCAAGAGATAAAATAATTTAAGTCTAAAGCATCCAAGATTTTTTTAAATATATATTTTGTTAGGGATGTTTTGTTGTGCATTTAAATACAGAAAGGACCAGTTTGGGGACATGGGAGCATAAAGCATAAATAAACATAGATTCTCATTGCAATAAAAGAGAAAATTATAACATTTTTAAATCTTCAGAACAAACATTTTTTATTTTTTCCTCTACAGGATTAAAGTTTACAGTAAGTGGTAGCTATAAAACAGAAAAAGGTATGACATTACAATACAAACTCTACAAAAAAATTATAAAACAATTATTTGTATCCTCACTGTGACGGTCCGACCAGTAAGACAAAAGGACAAAAGCATATATAAAAAAATATTTTCTATTTATTTTTTCCAAAGGAAATCTTAGCAAAAGGTTTCACAACAAATCTAAAAAAATATAACAAAATGGGCCCAAAAGAAAACTAAGGCAAACATAACACAAGATAACAAACCAAAAACTGACCTAACACAATGAACACACAGGGGATTTTATACAAACAGGCTAGCCTACACAAACGAGGAGGGGTAGGGAAGGAGACAAAGACAAATAATGTATAAACATAAATGACTAATTTAAACTAAAACATTTTAACTTTAACACAACTGTGAAACCAGAATAACCTAACACCAGAAGGTTTTAACAAGTAGGCCATCAGAAAGGAAAGAGGCAGATTCTTTTACATCATGTTCCCTGCTTCCAGCAGCCTGATGGTTTGTTCCACTTCCTGGTTTCTCTTTTCAGCCAACCCCCTTCTGCCAGCCAGTCCTTGAACTCAGCAAACAAAATAGTTAATAATCTTAAAAAAAACATAAGGTGTTACTAAATGTGTGCACCCAAATTAGTAAACAACCTAATGCAACAACCACCACCAAGGAAAAACCACCAAAGAAAAAGTGAAATTCTAATTAAATTATATGAAAACATTTAAATAAATACTAACACTGAGGAAAAGGTGGAGGAACCTCCACACTCACTAATTAATAATTTTATAAACTGAGGTATATGGTAAGTTTAAGCAACAGTAATACGATTATTAACAAGTGGATTAAAGTGTCCTCCAAAAATGGTAATAAACTCCCTGAGCAAAGACAATACTTGTAATATTCTTGAAATATTCATAAATATTTCTACATCAAAAGACAACTTCGCTTAATAGACTTAGTAAATTATAATTAGGATTGTAAAATTCAGTGGATCCCAGTCTCAGGTCTTTGCTCAGGTATACGAGTAGAGATTATTTACCATTCACAATTAATTTAAGCTATACAGGAAACCCAAGAAAAAGATGAATTTCACAAAAGTAAATCCACTTCTTGAGTTGTAGGTTCAATTCTGTAGGTTCTGCATCTCAGAGATATCAGAGTCTCTGTCGAGCTGCAAGATTAAAAGATAAAGATTCAGATACAAAAATGTTACTTTAACATGTAAAGATCAGAATATGATTAATTATTTTCTACTCATTACTATGATACACATAACCTAATTTTGAATTACGTCCTTATTGCTGCCTTCATACATTGTCATAATATCTCTATTGTGATCACTTAATTAAAACTGTAATGACTGATATTTTAAAGTAGGAATCAGAGAAACAACAAATTGTGTCAAAAACAACTAAATGTTCACCTTTTTCCTTTTAATGGATACATATGTGATAACCAAGGCAATGAAAGCACAAGTAAATATTCCAACTGTGGTGAAGATGGCGATGTTACTATGATTCACTGTTAAAGACAGAAAATATATATATATATTGACAGATGGAAATTCACCTTTTCACCAATATTTTGTATTTCTGATACTATTTTGTCTGTATATTTAATCACTGTTTATAGAAAATGGTGAAATAAAGAGAAACTGAGGCAAACTATCTATTAATATCTGTTAAAATACACAAAAATGTTGAACTCAATATTAAAACCAACAGTATGGAAATAAATCTGTGGCCTAATTTATATTAGAGGAACTTGTTATGCCTGATTTCAGACTAGTTTTAATATTTATCAAACAAACTTTAACATACTTGTTTTAATAATAATACTGTTTTATTTTTAAAACCACTAGAGAGAACAAGAACATATTTGAGATGTTTAAACTTACTTCTGTTGGTTTTAATCACAGCTTCATCCAGTCTGAGGATGATTTTGTCTTCAGCGTCAAGGAGCTGGAAAACACAGTCATATCTCCACCAGTCTGCAGCACTGACTGAGGAAACATCGAGGTCAGCGCTCATCTGGAAGGTCCCGTCGTTGTTGGGAAGGATCTCCTCATGATTCATGAACTGATGAATCTGCTCTCCATCTTTCCTCCAGAACAATCGAGCTTTTTCAGGATAGAAACCTGTAGCGTGGCAGCTGACTGGATCAGAGGGAGACCTCTGCAGAAGAGACAGTGTGGGAAGCTCTAGGTACGGACAAGAATCATTAGAGAGACAAGATAGACAAAGGGGTTGGGTAAAAATAGATGGATAGAGAAAAAATAATTATTCAGTGAATGGTATAAAATAAGAAGGTCGTCCTCCAATAGCTCCTGTTGGAGGATGAAGCCTAACCCACTTCCTAACCCTGAATATTGGTTAAATTGGAAAACATTAAACCTGAGGTGCAACAAAGGAGGAGCAGTTAGAAAAGTTTTTATTTAAAAAAAAAATGATGGAAAATTTGTATTTCTATGTCAACCAGCAGTCGAGTTAACTAAATATTTTCTATGAAATTGTTTGTACCATTCTGTTAAGGACTGAAAATCATCTAGGTTCTTTTTTTCCAATTTTTTAATGATTGTGTTGAACTACAATTCAAAAGCAATGTCTGGTTTAGATTTATTGACTAATTTTCAGTAAATTTTTATATTACTTATGTGAGCATCAAGTTTTTTCAGTGAGCATTGTGGACATGTCAGATGTTAACAGAGGGATACCAATAATTTTGTCTACATGTTTAACAGTATACATGTCAGGTATTATGATATATTCAGTATGCATGAGCATTTGAGTATCCACAACATCCATCCATTTTCTTTACACCCTGCCCATCTCCAGCTAACGTTCCAGGTGAGAGGTGGGGTCACCCTGGACAGGTCACCAGTCTGTCGCAGGGCAACACAGAGACAGACAACCATGCACACTCACACCTATGGACAATTTAGAGATATCCAAAACATGATGTTGCTTTTTAACATTCAGATATTTCAATTCTGGGTAACAAAAGAAAAAAATCTTGGACGGCTTTTGTAGTTTAATATTTTCATATTCTGAATGAAGGAAATAAGTTAAAAAGGTTTGTTCATGTTTGGGCTGTGCAAAAACCCAGTGAACCCAGAAACCCCCTAAAGTGAAACTGGAACACAATGACAGCATAACCCTGTGATAAAGATTAAAACTGCTTCTGGTCATGTTACCTGTCCTCATCAGAAAGTTTCTCCCATAGTCCAAAGATCTCTTCAGCCAATCAGGGCACCACTGAGAGGTGAATGTCCTACTATGGTGTAATCTAGCTTTATCAGTGTCCCAGGCCAGTTTGATGGGAATGGCTTGTTGTTTTAAAGGAATCCATGAATCCCTCTCGATGTCCAGAGCAAGGAAGTCTTCTCCATTATAGCCATACTGTATAGAACCAGTAAGCTCTCCAGTCTCTGTATCCCAACTACAGAAATCTATCCACTGGACTATATAAACACCTGAGAGAAATGGAAAAACTAATAATCACTGATTAAATATGCTTACATTCAAAATAAATGCAACGTGTGATGCAGACATATGCTCTTCTTATAATTTGTATGGTTGGGGAGGCAACTATGTGACTTAGCATAATTTTGAGTTGCAGCAATGAAGCATGTTGTCTGAGTGAGTTCAGTTGCTATTGTTGAACATTTAATCAAGTCAGAACATTTCAAAGTTTTATTTTCTCCTTCCGTTTTCAAAATTAGTCATGGTAGAATATTCTGATACCATAATAAAACTTTAGAAAGTGTTTCTCTTTGAAGACTGGAAATATGCTGATGAAACAAATAAAGAAAACAAAATAGTTTAATTAATTCATTAGTTCATAAATCAGCTATATGAGGTAGCTGGAAGGAAATGTATGATGAGAGAGACCTATAAGTAGCATAATATAACTTTATTGTGAAAAGTTATAATAGAAATCTGTTATGAAAAATATTTCATAGCAGTGGAGTCAGTTGTTCTTAAGTAAAGTAACATAAAAAAGTAAGTTAGTTAGGTTCTTCTATTTGAATAGTTTCTCCTAATTTTCCTGGACTTATCTGCTGCATTTAACACAGTCGTCCTTCACTGGCTTTACTCAGTTGGCTCCACTTCACCATTGGATACACTGACACTGCCCTCAGTTGGTTCCATTCTTAACTCACAAACTGGACAGAATAAACCTCCCTGGATCACTCCACATATCAAAATCACACACAGTCACCTACAGTATCCCTCAGGGATCAGTGCTCGGTCCCATCCTCCTCATTATTTTCTTCTTAGTCAGATCGTCAGTCATTTTTCTTTTTAATGCTACTCTGATGATAAATAACTTAATATAAATACCACAAATGCAACCCTACTTTGCACCTTGCAGCTGTGAGTCACCACCAGCATCATCATCAAATCTCACCACTTAACTGGAGAAGTAAAGGTATAGAGCTTTGGAGCGTGACGTCACTGCTCTAGTCGGAGGGGTATCAGCGCCATCTTAGGGGTCCATAGACAACAGTCTCGCAGTATAAAAACAAGTCTCGCAGATTTTTTCAATCCAAGTTACTTAAAATAATTTAGCTATGGTACGAACTTGCTGCATTATTGTCTGTAATGTCCGATCACACGACTGAAACGGTAAACGGATGTAAAACGGACTTTGGTTTCACTATTTTCCTGCTTGGAAACAACGTGAGGAGGCTAAGCTATCGGTGCTAACGAAAAGAAGACGAATGTCCTGGTATCAGCGGTGACACGTCTTGATATCACGTTCTCCAAAATCCCCAGATACCTACAAGTTTCCTCCAGACATTTCCTTTCTGGTGAGTGTCTAAATTTGCTTTGTTGGTTTTGTGTCATAATGTTCTATGATTTTGTCCGAGTCGTTCAGTTTCTGTTGTTTAGGTCGGGCTAATATTGTTTATGTAGCATAGTCCGAGTTTTGTCAGTGGACATCGAGGTTATTACATTATTGTGAAGTAAACTATTTTACTAGTGTTATCAAATTTACAGTAATCATACTAAATTTACAGCTTTAATAGCGATGTGTTCTGATATGTCCTCTTGAAGGCAAACCGACGTATGAAATGGATGAGCTCAATCCTGACTGGGGTCCAGCGCTGAATATGGGTCACTGAGGTCAATGACACAACATCGGACCGACATGGGCGTCAATTAAAGAGGAGATACAGCAAAACCATCAACAAGTTA